GTGCAGTGTTTTGGAGCAGAGCATCAGTAAGATTTCCCACTCAACATCAAGGAGAAGTGGTTTGGATGCCCAAAGACTAGTGCAGTTAAGAGTTGCACAGCTTTTGAAGTTGTAATTGAAAATAATGCAAATCTCACTAAAGAAATTCATTTTGATGGGCCTATTTAGGCATAAGCGTATTTCAAAGCAATTTTTCAAGTTTTGCTTCCCCACCATATATATATATATATATATATATATATATATATATATATATGTATCTGAGCACACATCTTTACACAAAACTACTGATCTAGGAAAACATCCACAAAAGGAAATTGTAAACTTATATATGTATACATATACTTTTTTGCAAATACAGACATATTAAAGCTAATTATAAACTTCACATTCAAACATGCACACTGTAAGTACAACACACAAGCGCGCACACACACACACACACACACAAAAGGGATCAATTTCGGTGGTCTAAATGGTGTACACCCATCCTTCTACTTGAGTAATGTACAATTAAAAATTCTTAAATATTTTTAAAAAATTATAAATAAAAAGTACCTGAATAATCATTAACCTAAAAAAATGTTATTTGTTTTAATTTGCTCTTTTGAAGGGAACACACTGTAAAATATTCCTGAATTTCTTTGACATTATTAATATGTCAGCTTACAAAACCTAAAATGTACTCTATATAAACACATAAATAAAGCCATCTACAACTAAGTTACAAAAAAAAAAAAAAAAAAAAAATCACCAGACACAATGTGAATACTAGCTGTGCCCTTCATAAATTTTTCTATTTGGACCCTAAACTGTTCAAAATTCTAAATTTGACCATGCGGTACACAGATACATACACACATATGTAAATGAATACAGACATATACATACATATATAATCAGACACGTGCACACATTATAAATATATATATGGGCATGTACATACACACACATATGTATATTTATATATACAGACATTTATACAAATACATATATATGCATACATAAACACTCCCACTGTTTAGCAAGCTTCTTAGTCTAACTAGAATAGTTATGTTGGATTATATGTATTTATGTATGTGTGCGTATAATAATAATATGATATAAAAATATGTCTATCAGAATAATATTGGCAAGATGGAAAACTGAGTACTGAAGAATTTCATTCAGAGAAGAAACTATATGTAACTATAGATGGTAAAAAAAAATTGAGAGAGAACTACAAGTATTGCTGTTCCAGTTTACATCAAAATATTAAAGATACACAGATACTGAACATTTTAATCTATTTTTTTTTTATTATATTATTGTTTTTCATTTTTTATTTTAATGTTTATGTATTGAGATGCTAAACTTAGTATATCTCATTCATTTTTTTTACATTTGTTTTGCTATTAGCTAACATAAACAGCATTTAGTTTTAGTTTTGCTCAAAAGATTGGTTAAGATTTTATTGTTGCAAAATGCATTTTTTTATTCTAATCTGGTAAAAACTGTCATAGTTTAGTTTCATGATTCTAATTTTAAAAATGAAAGAAAATAACATTTTTAGCATATGCTTTTATATTTTAAGAAATACAAAAATTCAACTCAAATGACAATAAAAATATTATACAGTTTAAAGGTACTGTGAATGAACAAGTATGTAAAAAGTTGCAAATTTTCAAATGGAGGTTGCTTGTTGAAATATTAGATCCACAGTTTAAAGGTACCGGTTAGGAATGAGCTGCAAGTAACTCCTCTGCTTGCAGAGAAAAAAAGTGGAATGGGGTTTCGTTCGGGAGGTTGACGGAACTAGCCCGCTTGGTCGGGTTTAGATGGTTGGCTTGAGGAACCCTCAGACTCATACATGATTAAAAGGCCTTGATTCAATTCTGAGGTTTGAAAATACCATCCAATTAACAATAATCAAATGAGGATATTGAAAATAATCATTATACTCGACAGGAAGTAGTTAATAGAGTCAAAATATCTAAATCAAGCTTTGAACATTCTTTGTATTAGCTTGGCTATGTTAGTCACTTTGATGTGTGGCTTCTACACTAGTTAAACCTAAAAATCTAATGGACTATATTTAAATATTTCATTTTTAGAAACAAATTATGATAAATATTAATATCCCACATTGTATCAATATCTTCTAAATGGTGTATTAGCATGTCTTCTCCTAAAATTTATAGAAATAAGTCCTCTGCAAATGATTTTATCCAAAGAATCAACATCAATGATGCTTTCTTGATAAATCTCTTCAAAACCATATTGCCTGATCTTGGAAATAAACATATAATTAATAACTTTTTCTATTTTTTTTTTTTTTTTTTTTAATTACAGAAAAAGAATTTATTTGAACAAAGTTTGAACAAAGTATCTATAAACCAATTTTTTTTTTTTTTTGCTATCCTCTGTCAGTTGCAATGATGGAGAAAGCATTACCTCACACCATTGCCAGTGAGACACACTGCAAGAGCCACTCCATTTTGAGAGGCTCGTCTCTTAATCAAGACGCCTTCCCATAATTAAAAATTAATTAAAATTAAATTAAAACTAATTAAATTGACTTATGAAATGGAAACAAATGACACATTACCATAATGATCCAAATCAATACTTCTTTTCCTATCACAAGAAAATGAAAATGCAAAATAATTACAGGTTTCTACTTAAAACAAAAAAAAACTTAGAATTTGTAGCCATCAATATTTACATAATGAACAAAAATACATTGAAAATGCATTTAAGCTCTTCCAAATTCTAAATTCTAATTAGGTGTTTAGAATCTTTAGATCTTTAACATTTCAATGTAAACTGTAACATATGTTTGCTGTATTTATCCCTGCAATCTATCCTCTTTACACACACATACACACAGAGACAAACTACTTGTCATTCATTTGCCTATAGAGAAGAGTGGACATTGTTTTCCTGTCTCTGTGTAAGTTCATAGGTTTATAATAAATGCACACATGTGTGTCAGTGTGTGTGCGTGTATATATATATATATATATATATATATATATATATATATATATATATACATACATACACACACACACACTACTACTGTCATTCATTTGCCTATATATAACAGTGGACATTGTTTTTCTATCTGTGTGTAAGTTCATAGGTATATAATAAATGTGCATGTGCGTGTATATATATATATATATATATATATACACACACACACATACTCCACTACTTGTCATTCATATGGCTATATATGAGTGGACATTATTTTTCTGTCTGTGTGTAAGTTCATAGGTATATAATAAATGTGCACATGTGTATATATATATATATATATATATATATATATATATAAACACACACAAACACACACACCACTGCTTGTCATTCATTTGCCTATATATGAGTGGACATTATTTTTCTGTCTGTGTGTAAGTTTATTGGTATATAATAAATGCTCACATCTGTGTCTATATATATGTGTGTGTGTATGTATGTGTGTGTGTGTGTGTGCATGTATGCAGACTCTGAAACAAATCATATCAAAATAAATCAACAAGATCTTTTTTCTTTTTTGTTCTTACCGTTTTTTCATTATGCATATAATCTGTTGCACATCCGAATCAAATTTGAGAAGGAACTGTCTAAATTTCATGTTTTTTGTTCAAATACTTCGCACCACCTCTAATCATTATCAGGAACATTAATGCTGTCTGCGCCATAGAGAAATGTAACATAATTAAAAATGGTATAATTAAGCTAATAACTTTTTTTTTTTCTATTGTGACTTAATATTCTTCATAATGACAGGAGATGTTCAAAAGAACTCAAGTAAAAACAACAATATGAACCTTGGACAGTTTCTCTATAAATTTGATATGAATATTTGACAACTTTTACATAAACTGGAAAAATGTTATAAATGTTGTTGGATTTTAATAAAACTTAGTGAATGTAATTCTTTATATATATATATATATGTATGTGTGTGTTTTTGTGTGTGTATTAAAGTGAGGTTGTTTTCCTGTGTGTATTTTAAGGCTGATTGGTTGATTGGTCAAAATGGTAAAATAATAGTGAAGGAGAAAAAGACTAAATAGAAATCCCAGGCTGGGACCCAGGTGAGTGGTGAAGATAAGATGGAATCAGGTTTGAAATACAAGGGTGAGGTCTAGTAGGGAGGGCAGTGGGTACACTAATAAGACAATTTTAAAGTTTTATGTGCTATCAAAATTTGTACAACATGGTTTTCTCTTTTCTTCCTGTAAGTTTTGTTTTCTTCAGATTTTGGGATCTTTTTTTTTTTTTTTTTTTTTTTCCAGTTTTGTTTTTCATCATTTTTCAGTTTTTTTTTTTTTTCTCTTTCACACTGTTTTCAGTTTGATTTCTACACAAATGTCATTATTTTTTTTTTATTTTTTTTTTTAATCCATATGTAGAGTTTCTTCACCGTTTAAGGTTTTTTTTTTTTTTTTTTTTCATTTAGGTGTAGAGAAAAATGAATTTGGTTATGGGAGCTTGAAGGGAACAAATTTGCAAATAAGTAATATTTTTCTTTCATTTTTGTTTTTTTTTTTTTGTAAATTTTTATTCCTTTATTTTTTCAGATTTGTCTCTCACTTTTTAATAATAATAATTTTTTTTTTAATTTTTCATTTCTTTTGTTCATTTTTCAATAATCTTTTTCTCTCTTTCGCTCATTTGTACTCTCTCTCTCTTTCGCTCTCTTTCACTATTCTTCAAAGGATTTATGAAAATCCTTTTTCTTTGAGTTTTTTTTTGTTTTTTTCCAATTGTTTTTTGTTTTTCTATCTTCTTTTCCATATCGTGTCAACAGCAATAATTATTTCTTAGTTACAACTGCAGCTGCAACTTGTTCAATTTCGGCAGTGGACAAAGGAGGCAGAGGATATCTGGTAGGGGTGGGAAGGGAAGGAGTGTTGGAGTGAGGTCATGGCAGAGGTGGAGGAGGAGAAGGAGAAGCAAATTTTCATTTTATTGTTGTTGTTGTTGCAGCAGCAGAGGTTGAAACTTTACACAACTGCTTCAGGTTTTGAGGCAAGCTTTGCTTCCTGGTGCATCATTTCTACTGCTTCCAATGCCTGCAAAAGTAAAATTAAAATAATAAAGATGAAAATATTAGTCAAAATAATCACTAGATTAATTACAAACATATTTTGGTCTAAAACTATGATATTAAATTTTATTATTTCATATGCCAAGTGATTTTTCTGTCCATAATATTTGTAACTTTTTGCTGTACAAGATTTATCTCCCTTACTCTGGCAATGCCACATAGTAGAGTCTTTAATATGACAATTATCTTTATTCAACAAATATTCCATGCCAACAAGCATTAAATCAGAAGCCTTAGTTTTAAAATGAGAATTTTTTTTTCTTCTTACTTTCTCATTCTGCTTTTCTAAATCCTCTATTTGTTGGCTATGAATCTTCTTCATGGCATCAACTTGTCTGGAATGCTTCATGGCTAACCGTTTTCTTTCTTCTATAAATTTCTTTGTATTATTTTCATTAAGTTCTCTTATTCTCCTGAAAAAAAGGAAAGACAAAAAAATATCATGAATTCAATGAATTATAATAGTAATAACAGCAGTAGAAGTTTTTTTTTGTTTTTTTTTATAAGCGTTTCACCCCAAGCAAGGCGGGAAGCCACTAGCATGCAAGGGGTTACAGAGAGTTGGAGCGAGAGCAAATAGGAGTGATAGAGGAAAAGATGAAGAGAAAGATAGGGGATAGATCAAGGCATCTGGAGATGTCGATTGACATTACATTTGAATAGTTGGAAATTATAGTTATCGGGGAAACAAGGAAAAGGGGATGGAATTCTACAGGCGAGAAGTGCAAGCCATGAAGCTATTGGAGTAGAAGAGGTGGCTACATTTAACAGTTTTTACAGTGAAAGGGTGTGAGCGAGATGCCAGCCTGGTTGAACGCTTAAATTCATGAAGTCTGGGAACCAGTGTCATCAATTTAAGCGTTCTACTAAGTAATAACAAATAATAATTGTGATAATAATCCACCCATAGAAAATGCAATAAATATATTTAATTTATAAAAATTTGGGAAAAGACTAATGATAGTTCTTATTTAAGAATTTTTTAATTTAATGTTTCTATATGACAGACTATTATCTTTGTTTCTAATACATATTTAAAAATAAATTATTTAATATCCGAGTACTTTTAGCTTTCAGAATCCATTATCAATAAGACTTGGGCTTTTTTTTTTTTGTGCTATGTTGGCTCATCATTTTTCAAATATTGTCTTCATGTCTCAGTTTCGTTTTTTTTTTTTTTTTATCTATGAAATGTATTTATTATGTTTGTTTCTAAATTTCATAACATTTTATTGATGCTGGGTTGTTTGTCTTTTTATGTTTACAGCTTTGAGTATTTGTAACCATTTTTTACAGTTTATATGATATAGTATTTTTGTGTTAAGGTTTTTTTCAGATTTGTTGTTGTGTTGGTTAGTGATATGCAATTTCAAACAATAAAAGCCACTCCAGATCACAGACACAGTTGTGCTAGAACATCACATGACAAAGATAAAAAAATTATGCCCATAAAAAATTGGTACTTACAATCATAATAATAATAATAAAAAACACAAACACTTACTATTTATACAGGCCAACCTTACAAACTGCTATGCATTCTCTCTATTTAACCTGTCTACATTTTTTCTTTCTTTCTCTCCCTACCTTTCTCCCTCAATGTCTCTTGCAGATTTATTCCCTACTTCTCTCTCTCTCACATTTTCCCTTGTCCACTCTCTTTCAACCAGTTTCTTTCACTTACTACTTACTTCCTTATCTCTCTCATTCACCTATCTCTCAACTTTCTCCATTTCTCCCACCTCTTTCATAACCTCACTTGTCCACACTTTCACACACTAATTTGTGTCTCAATCAATTTTGTTCACACCTTTTACTTCCACACACTCTGTTTCTCCCTATCACTTCCTCACTATAAAGTACAGAAGACGTCCGCTGGACATGCTTTTGAGTGATACTGAAAAGGCAATGGCTGCCTCCTCACTTATATTTATACACTCCAAGGGCAGATAACTCCGTTAACATCTATACACTCACCTGTCTCTCTCAGCTTTGTTTTTAATGGATTTGTCATTCAGAACTCCTTTGCTGGACTCCATCGATTGCTTCGCTTGACTTGTACGTAGTTCCTTGTTATCTCTGAAAGAAAAAAGTCAGTTACAATTATATCTGCAAAATAATGTCTTTCCTTTGTTTCTACCAACAACAACACAGATTTTAAATCAAATAAACAAAACTGATATTGCAAATTCATCATTCTTGAGAACAAAGTCAGTACTGAAGATTCTTTAAGCAATGGAATTTCTCATGTAATTGTTATTAATATATTTCAGCTAATCTATTCTTCAACCTTTGTCAGGTGTATTCTATAAGAAAAAAGGAAAACTACTTTTTTTTCCCTAGAAGAAAGTGATTTCTGTTTTTCTCCTGACCTGATGAGGGCTGAAGAATAGATCAGCAGAAATGTGGTGTTAATAACAGCAAGAATATGAAGAAGAGGTTCAGCTACCCAAAGAATGTTGCATATGTTAACAATTCCCAAAATTATAGACAATACACTTAGAATTGTCAATTCTTCAACACACTGATCCTAGGTACAAAAAGTATAATGGTCATATATTCAACCAAGCAGAATTATAGTATATATATATATATATATATATATATATATATATATACACACATATACATTGTCTATAACTTTACAAAGTCATTAACATGCCCAATATCATTCAGACCTCTTTTTTTTAATACTTGATATTGTTAACATTTAGTTGACACATTCTTCACACTTAATCAGGTACAATTGGTGAAAAAGAAATCTTTCTTCCAAAAAAATATAGCAATGGAAATGGCCATTAATAAATACTCATAAAGAAACGGCCATTAATACACAAATAAACAGCCATTAATACTCAAATAAACAACCATTAATACTCACAAATGGCCATTAATAAATACTCATAAATAAACGGCCATTAATAAATACTCATAAATAAACGGCCATTAATTTATACTCATAAATAAACGGCCATTAATTTATTAAATAAACCATAAATAAAATAAACGGCCATTAATTTATACCCATAAATAAACGGCCATTAATTTATACCCATAAATAAACGGCCATTAATTTATACTCATAAATAAACGGCCATTAATTTATACTCATAAATAAACGGCCATTAATTTATACTCATAAATAAACGGCCATTAATTTATACTCATAAATAAACGGCCATTAATAAGTACCAAGTGGACTAGGTTGTGAACAAAAGTCTACTTTTAAAATAAAATATAAAATTTAAATAAAAAGGCTTTTTCATCTTGTGATCATCAAAATACTAATAAAATCCTTCAAACAAGAGACAGATAATTTGTATAAGTAATGAAACATTATAAAATTACCAAACTCTTTGTAATCTTTATAAAAGTGGAGTCTCAATATTTATATCTTAACAGTAAATGCACATAGATATCAAACTCTATGTAAAAAAAAAAAACCAGAGCAAAGAAAATATTGATTTGTCTGAGCAATAATGTCAAAGAGAATCTACTATTTGTTCCAATTTTTTTCTTACAATAGGAATATTTTTAGTCAGTTGGACTCAATATCAGAAGCAGTTTTTAAATGGAATTGATGCTGGTACAGTTTTATCAAAATTTTCGGAAATATTTACAACGTTTATTTTAAAAGCTGATGTATGAGGGGGTGCTGAAAAGGGTTCAACATGACCTACTTCCCAAAACTTTTCAATGACCAAATATCAAAATGATTTTAGGAAGTGAGTTGGGTCAAGAGTTTTTCAACAACCCCAAATATAACGTGCTTGCTTTATTTATAACAGGTATTTTACAAGCACATTAAGTTACCATAATTTAATACATAAAGATTATGAAAAAAGCAAAAAATAAATAAAACAAAAGTCTGAGTTGTGTACTTATAATTGAAAATATTTCACAAAAATTCTACCCAAGCAGGTTTTTAAAATAATAAGACGTTATATGGTTTTTTTTTAAAGCCATTTACTCGACTCACTATGATTGGCCAGGAATTAAATGGATTTGCATGTTCTTTGTCCAGTGGAGAGGCATTTGTTTTTTTTTTTTTTTTTTTTTTTTTTTTTAAATCAGCATGAAACACAAAAGCACTTTGGCTGTCAAAGTATGTTGCTATTTTCTTCTGTACAACCATGAAAGGGAAAATGCTATCTTTTTCTACATTATTTACATTATTGTCCTCATCTTTGTTGCCATATTTATTACAACGTTTCAGCCGTTGTACGCTCCAGCCTTCTTCAGGTGGTAGGAATGTCGAACTGAATCCTTGAGGACACATGGCACAGTGGATAAAGGCATTAGTTAGATCCAGTTAAGGTGGTGGAGAATTTTCAGAGGGAAATTAACAGGAGATAACTGATAACTGACATCCATTAAACATGGCACATGGAACTAGAATAGTCTACCCCAGTGAGCAAAATAAAGGGTTCAGTTCGGCATTCTCAGAAATACAGACAGATACTGATGGGCCAAAACGTCATAAATATGGCGACAAAAATGAGGACAATAGTCCGAATAATGTAAATAGTGTACATAATACCTCATCTCAGAAATATAGACAGATACTGAAAGGCTGAAACGTAATAAATATGGCAACAAAGATGAGGACAATAGTCCGAATAATGTAAATAATGTACATAATACCTCATCCCAGAAATATAGACAGATACTATCTTTTTCTGTTACTATTTTCACTAAAAGGTGTACAATTTAAGGTTAAATTATATTGAGAAAATATAAATCCACTTAATATATAAGGTAATAAGCTCAATAAGCATCTTATAATTCCTATTATATCAAATACTTGCTTAAACAGGCCTTGTCAGTAAATAGACTAATTTTAAAAAATTGGATGGATGAAATTTTCTCTTGGTGGAATTTTTGATGCATCCTTCAAAGATGGTTGTATTCAGGAAGTTATAGTAACTGCTTTGGTCAATACAACTTTATGAGATGGTTAACTGAAAGGAGAAATCAGGTACTTACCTCTCTTGTTTAGTTTCAAGCTCTTTCAGTTGTGACTGATGGGCTTCTTCTAGTAGTTTTGTCACAGAGCTATTCTGCTGGAGAATGTGAGCCTTATTCAGTTCATGCTCCTCTTGGAGTTGGCGCTCTAACATTTCTGACCATTCTTTAGTTTGTTCCGCTACAAGAACAGTCACCTGAAAAAGAGAAATATTAGGAAATCAAAACCAAAAGAAAAAAAAATGAAAGAAAGAAAGAAAAAAAAAATGAAAGAAAAAAAAAAGAAAGAAAAAAAAAAATGAAAGAAAAAAAAAATGAAAGAAAAAAAAAATGAAAGAAAAAAAAAATGAAAGAAAAAAAAAATGAAAGAAAAAAAAAGAAAAAAAAAAAAAAATGAAAGAAACAAAAAAAAAATGAAAGAAACAAAAATGAAAGAAACAAAAATGAAATAACCAATAGGTTTTGACCCACTTCCCAAAATTTAAACTTTGAAAGGGATTCTTGGTTAGGATGAGAACATTTCAGCACCTCCTCATAACTGTCTTAAGTTGTCAAAATGTCTCAGATGGAATGCTGGCATTAATATTAATTTTTGATGAGTTTTCTCTCATCACATTTTTTTTCTTGCTTTTATTCCCTGGTTATTTTTCTGGCACAGGTGATATCATGGTAAATGACTCACCTAGACAAGTTATGACCAGTTTGGACCAGCAGCCCAAGTAAAAGCACTCAGGGGACCTCAGAGGATGTTAAAAACCTTGTGTCACAATCTGACTTCGTGGAGGGGTGGGGGTCAAGCAAATCTCCATACTACAACCATTAAGTGGCATATATTATTGGGAATAGAGACTAATCTTCTGATTAGATTTGAACTTGGATTCCCAATGTTTAGAAACTTGCCCAACTAAGACACTGCCTTAGTGATGAGGCTATGAAAGTTAGTCAACAGGTATCATATTCTTCATTAGCTAATTTTTGCTCCATATAGTTTACATACACCAAAGAGAAATAGCAGACATAAAAGTCTTAAGTTATTTGAATTTCTTAGATCCTGATGATCAGATATTGAAGCATATATTATGTAATTAAATTTTATCTGTTAGTTTTCAAAGTCTAATCAGCAAGACACTGTCTCTGTCAGACAGGATCTCTTTCAAAGACAAGAGACAAGAGTTCAAGTTTTGCCAGAAGCTTATTCTTTATTTCCAATCTATGCTACTTGCTTAAGTCACAGAATGTCAAAACAAAATGAGCATTGCAATAAGAAACAATAAAAGGAAAACTAATCAAAAAATTATTATCTGTCTATATCTCTGAGATGAGGTATTATGATTATTTGTATTATTTACATTATTTGGACTGTTATCATCATCTTCATTGCATATTCACACCGGTTCAGCCGTTTTACACTCCAGCTTTCTTCAGGTGATTGGAATTTCAAATCAAATTTCGTCCACCAGGGTAGATTGTTCTAGTTCCAAATACCATGCCTCTTCCGGATGTCCCGGTTATTTCCCTTTAACTCAACACTCCAAGTTTTTGGCTCACCACTGCTGTGGCCTGCTACTGAACTCAGAACTCTTTGGGTCTAGTCACTGGATCTAACGGCTTTATCCACTGGACCATGTGTCCTTGAGGAAATCTGTGTATGAATTCCTGGGACTTATGTCTCAACAACCATTATTACTATCCATTTTTGTTTATTAATGAACCTTCAGACCTGATAGAAAATAGCCACATTAAACTATTCGTTTTCTTATGATCTATCCTTTCCAAAATCTCCTCAAAATTATGCAAATTTCGTCACATTAGTTCATTATTCTAAATGGATAGCATATGTGAAACCAAAAACTGAAATTTCAAAATTTGGAACCACATCTCTTTTCATTTGTCTATCTTGCTATAAGACGAATAGATTGGTTGCCATGATGTATATGGCAATAAATAAAACTTATGTGCTTATCCATGGATAAGAGGTTAAAGACTTACTTCTTTCAATAATTTCTTTTGAATTAAGATGTAGTGAATGAAAACAAAAGTCTGTGTTGATTGCATTCATAAGTAAAGGTAGAAATTGGCAATCAATATTGTTAAAAGAAATCACTCTACCTTTGATTGGTGATCAGCCATAAGAGCTTGAACTTTCTGTTCTTTACTGTCTTGATTAACATCCTCCCTAGAAAGATAAAAATAAAAATGAAATAAAATATATAAATAAATAAAATCTTTTTTTTCTTTTCATATTGTATCTTCTTTTATATATTCCATTCAGGACATAAGCGATAACAGCTATCTCTTTTGGCTTTTAGCAGTTTTTCTCCCTTTACTAAGGCTCCAACAACCTGTTCCACCATCAATTCACATAAGCTCATTTGGTAAATGGCTCACTGCCTTCCTTTATCTTTATTGTCCTTTATATGCCCTGTGAGGTTTAAGTTTTCCAAGCCCTCCTTTCTCATTATGTGTCCAAGGAATTTCAGCTGTCTCTTCCCAATTCTGAGTATAAGTGTTCTTCCTGTTGCTTTTTTTCTTTAATACTTCCGTAACAAAAATGAAAGGCCACCAAAATAGCTTTCTAAATATCATTTTAAAGTAGAAACCCAAATAGTTATCCTCCTGAACTATAATATAATCTGGCTAAGACTATAAAAGCCATACACTGGCAAAAGCACAGAAATGCAGAACCACTTACAAAGCTGCAATTCTATAACACACAGCAACAAATGAACTTGTTGTCATTGGAATATGTGATAACCAATGTATTACCCTATGTTTTTGGGGTTTTTTTTGTATTACCCAATGTTTTTTACTTTGTATTACCCAATGTTTTTTCCTTTGTATTACCCAATGTTTTTTCCTTTGTATTACCCAATGTTTTTTCCTTTGTATTACCCAATGTTTTTTCCTTTGTATTACCCTATGTTTTTTCCTTTGTATTACCCTATGTTTTTTCCTTTGTATTACCCTATGTTTTTTCCTTTGTATTACCCTATGTTTTTGATTTTTTTTTTGTTTTTTATTTATTTATTACTCTATGCTTTGTTTTTTTTAGGTATACAACTCAGTAAACTTTGACACAAAACTGCAATCAGCATCAAGTGAAATCACTCTGCGAAGTTTGCAAGATCAGCACTTTGACCAATCCCACCCACGTTTCACACCTTACAGGTGGTTCAGTTTTCAACCAGCTTTAGGATTAGTGCCAACTAATGCTTATAAACTTCACATCAATGCTGTAATTGACAACTTACCATTCTAAGAGTTTTGCATAAGCAAAAGAAAAATGTTCAAAGTATAGTAACAATTAACAGCGATATCTAAAGTAATTATAAACAAGTCTAACATCTGTGGGACACTGAAATGTTTATATAAGGTTGATACAAATGGGTAGGTGGGTGGATGGCTGTGTGTGTGTGTATATATATATATATATATATATATATATATAAAATCATGTGATAAGACACCAGAAGTGTTGAAACAAAATGGCTATTTTTGTAGTGATTTTATAACATATTTATGTTATAATTTTCAAATAAATAATTATATATATATATATATGCACATTTCATTGAATATGACAGACAAGGTGCTTTTAGTTAGTTTTTTATACAATTTCTCATGCGATCTAATAATTTTTTCTATTCAGATGATAAATTATATAAAAACTGTCCGAAAATTCTTTTTATCTGAGCGCTTTCCGCTATCCATTCAGCCATTTTCAAGGATTAAATATTTTAACTGTTACATAAGAAATAGTTTGTTGCATGTATGTCTTATAAAATGTTTTCATTTTTCAAAACATGGTCAAGATATTATGTCCATGTTCAAAGTTAATATTAATAAGTGTTGTTTTTTTGTTTTTATTAATAAGGCTTCCATTATTTTTAGTCTTTTTTGCATGTAGATGATGCAATTATATTAGTATTGTCAACAAGTATGAATAGTATCTGGTAGGTCTCCATGATTAGTTAAATAAGATCTAATTGAGCTATTGTCAGAAAGGTATAGAGCAAGTCTGCATGTCAAACATTATATAGTGTTTTGTTGTATAGCTTAGACATGTTCTGTCTACTTATTTTTGATAAGATCCTTTCATACTTATGGGTAAGTTTTTTGGTGTTGTTATTAAAGGACAAGAGAAAATCGCTATTTTTATACATATTTGTTTTATTCCCAAGTACTTTCGTCATATCCATGTCATCATCATCAGGGTATTGTTTTTTATAAAATAAATATTATAGTATTCATTATTGTCAAATAAATGTATAAACATGGCAATTTTCTCTCGTACTTCAGTAATGACATCAAAAAACTTATCCCCACGTATGAAAGGATCTTATCAAAAATAAGTAGACAGAACATGTCTAAACTATACAACGAAACATGTATTAATGAAAACATGCTGCTACCAAAAAATTATATATATGTAGGGTTCTGGTTACATGGAACATTAGTTACAAAGAATAGCCACTTAGTACGACCAAATTAATTGAGTTAAGTATAAAGCATGAGGACACTGGCCAAAATTTTGTGATAACAACAACAATGATGAGGACAATAATCCATATGTAAATAGAATATATATAATATTTTATCCTTTTTATGTAAATTTAGTTAAAAGAACAACTGTCTTTCAGGGAAAAGAAAATTGTGTTCCAATGTGGATCAGAATTTAATTTATATCAGCCATTTTCTCAGTCAATAGAACTGAGACCTTCCTCAATTTCTGTCAGACATGGGGAGTAATGGACTATGTTTGCTCATGACATATTGGCAAGAAGCTTGAATTCAGCATTGTCCTTCTAAACTGGTTGTCCTACCAAGTTTTAATCTTTTTAGGCAGGTGTGTGTAGGAGTAAGGGGGGACGTATATATTTATTGATGTAAAAGATACAAGCAACTTCTTTCACATTTAAAAATCTTTTTAGCCTACCCTTTCTTTTTCAATTTCTCCAAAGATTTCTCTGTTGCAGACTTTTCTTTCTCATGTACAGCAATCAACTTGTCAATAGTCGTAAACTGCTGCTTTCGCATCACAGACTGCTCTTTTTGATGCTTTTTTTTCATCATATCTAGTTCCTTCTGTTGCTTCTTTGTCAGTCTACTGTATACCTTTTCGTTCATCAGAGATTCCCGAGTGATGTTATCAAATTGAAGATCTTCTGAAATAATAATAATAATACACTTCGTTAGTTAGAAACTCCAAAGAAATAAAGCAAAGAAAAATACTGTTCCACCCCACCCAGAAACATCTAGTTTTAATGCTTTATAAAAATTAATTTATTTCTAAATTTTAGGATAACTCCGATTTAAATTCAATTTGTGAGGTATCCATACAAGTTAAACCCTAAACAGATTTGAGGTAAAAAAATGTAAAATCTCTTTTTTAATCAGTTCATCCCAAGCAAGGTGATAAAGCCACTAAGACAGAAGAGGGTTAATGAGTATGAAAGAATCTGAGAAAAAAATTAAGAGAGGCCAAGAAAAAACAGGAAGATAACAATTGGCATTGCATTTAAATTTTTGAAGATTAAATTTGACTGGAAAGCAAGAATCCAGAAGTACAAAAGAATTGTTAGCAGAGAAATTAAGAATTACAAATTAATTTTAAATTACTAATGGTACTATAATAAGTTTTCATCCACCTTGACTTTCATCTTCTTACACTGAGATTCTTACCCATCAAGAATAGGCTATTACAAATTCATCAATGTTTTCTATGTGTTTTCTTTGGATAAGTATTGATCTATTGGTGACTAATTAATAATATTCTCACTACATATACTCACATATAAAATGTGATTTGGAAATACTGGTAACTTGCTTTCTATCAATGCTTTTAATAAATAAGAGCAAATCAAATTTTCAACATATTCAATAAAACCTACCCGTGATATCATGTGTTACATAAAGTAGTATTAAAATAATTTGCAATACAGTACAAATTATAATTTGCAATAATTTTTTGTAATTTGCAATGCATTCCTATAAAATAATGTGCAATAATACACTAATTTCAAATGAATTTTATAGTAAAATAATTTCCAATTAATTTTTATGAAATAATTTTGAATTTATTTCTATAGTATAATGATTTGCAATGAATTTCTATTATAAAATAATTTATAAAGTATTTATATACTAAAATAATTTCCAACCATATACGTGCTTTTAGCTGCTTTAAGTTACAAAATATATAATATTTTCATGTATTTGTTTCATAAATCCTACCAGTGATATTATGAGTTGAATAAACAGTTCATTTACAGACACACAAACACATATATATATATATATATATATATTATAAATTAATTGATTTAAAATATGGTTATTTTCGCTATTTAATGCTCTGTAAATTTACATTGAGCACTATTTTGTAAAAATAAAATATCTATAAGAACACCGGATATCTTATATCTTATATCTTACTGTTCTTTCTTTTTATTTATATACATATATATATATATATATATATATATTATAGCAAGCTATCCACTGCCTTAACCAGGTATTGAACTCACACTCCTTGGGGATACATGGCACAGTGGATAAAGGCATTAGTTAGATCCAATGACAGGACCCAAAGAGTGTGATTTCAATACCTAGTTAAAGCAGTGGAGAACTTACAGAGGGGAATCAACAGGAGGTAACTGACATCCATTAGACATGGCATGTGGAACTAGAACAGTCTACCCTAGTGAGCAAAATAAAGGGTTCAGTTCAACATTTCAACCACCTGAAGAAAGCCAGAGCGTACAATGGCCGAAATGTAATAAATATGGCTACAAAGATGAGGACAATAGTCCGAATAATGTAAATAGTGTACATAATATACAATCTTTGTTGTCAATTAAAATTTAGTAATTCTCATCATTCACAAGACAATTTCCATTGTCAACAACAATGGCAATGAGTAAATATATTTTTGAGGAAAATTTTATTTGTGATATTCCCTTTTCAAAACACACAAATATTTTTTTTTTTTTTGACTAGATATTAATAATGAAAGAAAAAATTAAAGCTTATATCAAAATGATTGTTGAAGATAAATTCATGTAACAGAACAGTGCTAATCTACTTATTACTAACACTATTGCTTTGTATATATTTTCAATATACTTTTTCAACCTACCTTCGTCTTCTATGTCTTTCTTTCTGGCCCCTAAACAGGCCAGAACAACTTGATCTCATTCTCGTCGCCAAGTTGTTGTGGCCTGTTTAGGGGCCAAAAAGAAAGACACTGAAGACGAAGGTAGGTTGAAAAAGTATATTGAAGATATATACAAAACAATAGCGTTAGTAATAAGTAGATTAGCACTGCGTCTACTACTCCACTTCACCTATCTGCCTCTCACAGTTTGTATTTATGAGAGGAGGAAGAGTTCATTCTACTGTAGGAGGGTTTACCACAACACATTTCATAATCACTGAGCAATCCCTGAATTTTCTCTAGTCATATTCTACTCTTAATGAAGCTCCTTGCTTTGGACGTCTATTGGGATTCAAGCTCATTCCAGATGACAAGTGGTATTCGTGTAGATGAAGCATCACGATACATGTTGGAAAAATAGTCAGCTCATTCTTGGACTCCAGGAAGTATCAAAATGCCTCAGCCATACTTTATCTTTATAAGAATCAGATCAGACAAGAAAATGAAGTATTGCTATCATATCTGGGCTAGAGCTGAACACTCCTCACTTTCCTGCCTGAACAGAGTTTAAAATCATTTATGCAGCTTTGTGAAAATCAAATAGCAGAATACACCTGTAAAATTTAATGAGAAAACAAAGATATTTAAACCCTGCTATAAGTGCAACCCACTCAAAATGGTATGCCAAAATTAAAAAGAAAAAGATTTTGTAAACACCTTCTTTCTTGGCTGGTTGCTGTTGTGCACTGACAGGTGTTTGCTTCATTTGTTTGGGTGTATCTTTCGCCTGATCTTTAGTTGGACCATTTGGTGTCTGCGGAGTAGGTTTACTGCTCTCACTGGGCATTGTCTTGTTCTTGCCTTTGGTTTCTGGGACATCCCCAATGTCATCCTCATCAATACCCATGTCTTTCATCAGTTGGGCTCGCTTGTCAGCCATGGATTGGAATTTAATGGGGGCAGACACCGCTGATACAAAATCTGGAATAAAAAAATAAAATAAAAAGTAAAACCCAGAAATATTTCAATACACATACCCACTGGTCAGCAATTAGTACTATAAGAGCTCAATGAGAAAAAAAACAAAAAAACCTGACTTAAATTTACCTACCAAAACCAAGCTAGGATGATTTCATAATCACTGTAAAAACACTAAATTTTCTCTAGTGATGGTATCTGGGAGTAAATCAAAAGATATTGGCATTATATTGATTTGGTGTTACTTGCAAATTTGTCAGTTTTATGACGAGAAGTTCATTATTTTTTTACTTGTATTGTTATCAATAAAAAGATATCATTTTAATGATAATGGAATACAAGGCAAAGATTTTGCCCTCAAGCTTCAAGCTATGAATTTAAGTAATATTTACAATCTTTCATTTGAAAAATTTCTTAGAATTAACCTGTAGAAAAAGAGAATATTTATAAAGTTAAAACACAATAGGAAAACTATATTATTAGCCAACGTGTTTCATCCAATGTGGACTTTTTCAATGCAAAAACGAATTGAATTTATTAAAACAAAGTAACTATTAATAGTTACTTTGTTTTAATAAATTCATTGATTTTTTCCTTGAAAAAGTCCACATTGGACAAAATGTGTCGGCTAATAATATAGTTTTCCTATTGTCTTTTATCTTTATAAAAATCTTTCATCTATATATTGTTTTGTTCCTATTGTAACTACTCATTTATATTCAATCCTTTGAAAGAACATTGTAAAAAAAAATAACAGCAAATCTTATTAAACTTATAGCACCATCAATACCATTTTTTTAAAAATATGGTGCTTCATAGAGTCAAAGAATTTAAACACAATGCACTGATCAATATATATATATATATAATTTAAAAGAAAAACAAACCACTTTAAGGCTCCATAGTAATAATTTATTTCACCAGATATATATATTACTTTTTCTCTGGATCCTCAGACTTTACTTTCAAAGATGAAACGAAAAAATGAATTTAAAATTTACACTTTTGACGGGCAGTATTAAGCTTATATAAGTTGAATTAGAGGGTGATGAGTAATGGTGTAGGAGACATGGTCGAGTTTAGAGAGGGAAGAGAGAGTTTTAAAATATATCTTTATATTTCTTTTTATTACAATACTTAATATTGAGGAAGGAGGAGGTAAGGATCAGACATTGACCTATTTAATCGGTCAAATTGACGGAAATGATATGGGAAAAGGGAAAAAGAAAAAAAGGGGGAAGTAAAGAGATAAGATATATAAGTAGGGTTTTTTTATATATATAAAATTCAATCCACAGAAACATGTCAAAATAAATCTCTCACATTGCAAACTATCCTGGCAACTAACTTACCTTCAAACCCTTCTGGAACATAAGTCTTTAAAATAATTCTACAGAAAACCGTTGGGAGAGACAATGGAAAGTTTCCTTCTGTTCGTAGTGATATGTGTCTATAACCTGAAATAAAAAAAAGAAATTCACTGCTGACTCTGGTGTCAGAAAGTAAAACAATACAAATTTGATAAATCTTTATTCTTATTTAGTCCTCCATTCAAAATCAAGTCAACCCAGTATTTGACCTCATACCTACACAATAAAAAAAAAAAGAAAGGAAATATTTTCTTTAGAAATGATTATTCTCTTGTTTCAAAATCAAAATCCTACGAATATACATCCAGTCTTGGAAAAGATTCTCTCAAGTATGGTTCTGTTCTGTACAGTGGGTATAAAACTTTAATCCCAAAATTACCGAGTTCCTGCAATAAAATATGCCTTGAGGTTGATTGAGTCAGAAAACATTTACAAGCCCTCTATCAAGGCCTGACAAAAATCAGGGCAGATTCACACATAACTTCCATTAAAAAAAAAAAAAAAAAAAAAAATGATAAAGAAAGGAACACCAGAAAATAAAATAATATTTGGCCAATCAAAAAAATTGACACAAAGATGCTTTTTGATATTAACTGAAACCATTGTTCACAGTAAATTCTCAAGCCTTGTCAAAAGAATATAAACCTGACACCTCTGGTCTAGAAGCTGGGATGAAGGGAGGATGGAACAAAATAAATAACACTACTACATAGAAATCAGCCACATGTGATGCCTGAAGAAGAAGTTAAGTCATTTGTTACTGATATTTCCACCCTGCTCAGAGCCAAGAAAAACACAGTAGATTGACAATGACCTAATTTCTGATATTACTACTACCCCTATCATGATCTTACTTCAAAACACAACTACCAGACTTTTCTCCAGACTGCTAACAATATCTACCTAATTAACAAACTTTTTGTTACACCAAATACCAAAGGACTCGCTCATCACTCTAAAAAAGATAATTAAAAATATATTACTTATTTTAAACCCTTGAGTCAGTTTATTTTATTTCCAAAGTTCCAATAAAATAATTATCCTACCAACACCTATCCATAAACGTATTGTGTATGTATGAGCAGGGTGTAAGTTTACTAATTTGGCAGTGAGATATCATTAAATGAACTTGTAATTCAATGACCACCACATTCACAATGATCAGGTTGATTACAGGGTTACATCATCCCCATTTTTAAGTCCCCATGTAAAGTCAGATTTGGCTTCCTGCAACTTCTGGCTTTTCCCCAAAGTAAAACTCATTAAAAGAGATGAAGAAGAAGATGTGACATGATAGCTAATGGAAATACTGAATTAGAACATTGGCGGCTGTCTTCAAAAATGAAAGACAATACTGGGATAAGTGTGTAATTGTTAAAAAGGGAAATACTTCAAAAGGGAATAAGGTGCTATTGTCTTAAGTTGGTTAACTTTGGATGGATACTTTCTGGACACAAATGTTTATCAATGGGATTGTAGACTGAAACACTGAAAATGTTTTATAAGGACAGTTTTTGTTAGTGGCTTTTAATGAAATACCTTTACACTAATATATGACTATTTAAAACTAGACTTAATAAGATATTGGCTCAAAAATATTTTATGACAAGTTTATCAACGCTTTTTATAGAAATAAGTGATCAATGATGAGATTTGTTTAAGTTTTAACATCGTTATTACTTTTAGATATTACATCTATTTTGTGCTTACTGTGAACCTGACTTTATTAAAAGATATAAGCTGAAGTAGGTGAATCTAGAATTTAAAACTAAATATGGTACAGAAATACAGTACAGAATTTTGCCAGTACCCTTTGCTGAATACATGTCCAATGAGAACTATTTTCTGAGTAAATTTTCTCAGTCTAATTTCCCAATCTTTTTAGTAGCATTTCTACAATAAAGAAATTTTAACACATTTACTACCAAACAAAAGAAATGCCAATCTTGTGGCATGTTGTGTATTACCTCAGACACGTATATGCATCCATTGTCTTTTAGTTAAGACAACTATGTTTTTCATTATTTAAATAATAATAAAAACCTACTCAGTGTTATTTTTTTTTTTACTTTGCTTTTTGATGCTACCTTTTTGATAAAAAATAATCATGACATACAAATGTGTCATGATGGGAAAAAAAAGACAAATTGAAAGACTATTAAATTCACTTACCAAAATAAAACTGATGTAATGGAATAACTAGTCACCACCATGTATGATTACACTATAGGTAGTAAGTACCTATAAAGTCAACCGTCTATGAGAGATTGGAGGAAGAGTGAGAGCAAGAAGATGCAAGCATGTCCAACCTTCCACTTAGTGGCACTCACTACTAGATTGACCTGTGTGTATGACTGTAACATATTTCATATTGTACTGATTTTGTACAATAAACCTTTCTTCTATTATCCACCTGGTGTTAAGTATTTATTCCCTTAGCACAGAATATAATAAAAACATAAAATAATTTTATATAGCAATTAGCAATGGAAATTCTAAACAAAATAGCATTATGTAAGTGTTCAAATCTGCAAGGTAGCAATGAATATGTTAACATAGAGCACTGATTTGGAAATAAACTAAAGGAGGGTATATTTGAACTTCTATACTTTTTACGATATATTCATTTATAAACAATAAATAATTTATAAACAATTATTATTAAATGAGCTTGTATTCCTTTGATGTTGCTCATATAACTCCAAATATTTCTTTTACAATCTGCCATTCTTAATTTCACCACACATGTCACCAATGCAAAAGTCACTCAGCCCTCTTTTATCCTACCAACACCACGGCCAACTAACCAATTAGCATTCTTCACTTTGTCCTCAGTTACCCAGTCAAATGGCATCCTCCAGTTCGACCAATCAGCACATAAATTGCTATTGGTCAAACCATGCTAAGATGTACAAAAGCCACCATTACAGAATATACATTTCTTGAATAATTTAAAGTGGGGAGGGGAGATTCATGCCATTTTCAAAGAACAAAATGCCCCTGCTACATGTTGTGTATTGAGATAAGGAACTTATTTTCCTTTGCACCAGAAGCAAGCTACCCTGACAAGCTTGCTTCTGCACAATTGTTCACCACAATGATATATTCATCCTGCTATAAAAAAAAAATGCCAAAATAAAACCTGTCCACGAACTTCAAAACCCTTCTTTTTGCCCTGAATTTATACAGCCTTTTGTCAAGTAATATTTTCTTTAAAAATATACCATGACTTACCGGCCTGTAATCCATCAAGTGGCAAGATTCTTTGACCAATTAATTTACCAGTATCTTCATAGACAGCAATCCGCAAGACTGCCAAATCAGGAAGGACAACCTGAAATTACAGAAATTTACAATAATAATTAAAGCAATAAATAGTTTATAAAATGACACACGCACAGACAAATACAAAAAAAATATGTAAAATGGAATAAATAATTAATTATGTAATCTATTATTTTATGGAAGAAAGCAAAAAGTTTCTAAAAACAGCATTGTATGACTTAATATTGAAATAGATTACCTCATATATATATATATATATATATATATAATTATTTATTTAAAAATATGATTCCAACTCGCGACATAAGAGCTCTCATGTTTCAAAACAAGAGCCGAAAACTTCAATTATTTGAATTAAATTGAATTAAAGTAAGCTCTGTTCCATCTTCAAGCGAAATTTTTTTTGGAATAACGTATTTCTGCAATTTACGTGTTTTAATAATTGAAATCAAAATTTCCATGGTAACAGCTAGGGCGAATTGTTTAAATTGGGTAGGCGTGTGTTGGGTGTTAATAATAAGTATTAGTATAGAGTTACTTTCATAGATGTCAAGTCAGGGTAAGGTGGGGGTGTCTAAATTTGAAACTGAAGATGTATTAACCCTAGTCTGATTTGCATGTCTATGGAGATTTATTTTTATTTTTTATTTTTTTTTTATGAAAGGGATTTGTGCATATAAAAAAACTGCCGTAACGTTTGTTTTTTGACGACTTCATAAAGGGTTATCTTTTTTGTAGTGTATTTAAACTATTTATTTGGGCTATGGATTATGAAAGTTATTATATTGTATGCTTGTTTTTAGCTAATTATTCAAACCATGAATCTGATGATGTCGACAAAAAACCGTTAACTCATGTCTATTGTTTAATAGATTATTATTATTTAGAAGCTTAATAATGTGCAATTTCTCATGGAGGCACAAAAAGGGCATGGGTCATCCCAAGTTTTATATGTTCTAGCCCTGTTTATAATTTTTCCATTTTACTTTTAGGAGTCCTATTTGTTTCCTTCAGATGCCAAATATATTTAGATAGGGAAGTCTGATTTCTTTTATTTATATTATTGAAAGAGCACTTATGCTGCCTCTATCTATCCTTAAAATCATTCTTCATGGACCCAATGTATATCATATTAGTGCTAGGACTCTCAGTGGATGATATAGTACATTGGTATACCACCGATTTAATGCAGCATTTATTTTCTAATGGGCAGTCTTCTACAATTACATAATTTTTCCCTTTTATTGTCTGATTTAAGTGCAGGGTTTTTATTAATACTATTCAGGCATGGGGGTTTGTTCAAGATCTTATTATTGTGTTTTTTTATTATACATTCAAGATTTTCAGAGCAGCTGTAAGTCAATTTTAGGGTGTTCTTATTGAATATATTACTAAGCTTACTATTGGTGGGGAAGTGTTTATCAATTAGAGCCAAGAATTTCTGTCCTAGTTTAATACTAACCATTTCGTTGAACGGAGGGGTACCAAATGATTTTTTTTTCCTGTTTTTTTTTTTTATGGCCAGTGCAATTGTCTATAGTTAATGTTAGCATTTTTATAACCACTATTTTTCAGGGCAGTGTTATAGAAGCCATTGTGTTGTTGGAATATTTCCTTGTTAGCGGAGTTAATGCTAATTCTATTTTACCTACCATCGCCTGAGGAAGTACAATCATAGTATTGAAATATGAAAGCTTTTGTGTAGTGATTTAATTTTTTTTTTTTTAATAACCTCTTATAATAAAAAATATAATATTAATTATCCATGCGATGATCGCCTAGTGGTAGGATCTCAGACTGATGCTAAATCAGTCAGTGGATGACAATATATGCTCCTGGGAAATTTGGTTGAGCTCTCTTGAGAAAAGGGTGATTTTAAAAACAGTGGATCCTACTTCTATTAACATATTGTTCTTCAACTGAATTGAGCTCTCCAGGCCACTGGCGTATTTTGTATAGAAAATGTTAATATTTCCCTTTCTCTCTGCCGTGCGACAACAGCCTAGGGGTAGGATCTCTGATTGATGCCAAATCAGTTGGGTTTCGATCTTGGCTTGAAGCAACCAGACGTCTAGCCACACTGAAGAGCTGTGATACAAATTCGAAACAGTCTGTCTGTGGATGACTATATATATATATATATATATATATATATATATATATATATACACACACACACACACTGAGTGAAAAAGTCTATTTGTAGATGACTACACACACAGATAGTGTCCCAAAATTTACACTTGATTTGAAAACTATCAACACGTTACAACCACAGAAGACAGAATTTGTAGAGCAAATTTGCATTTTGGCTGAAGCTGCTTGTGTTCAGTTCTAATTAATGCTTCAGGAAAGTCCTTAATCCATTTCTGTCTGTAATTTGTCAGATATTCAAACAAAATATCTTATTACTCATACAATAGTTCCCTGAGAAAAGAGTTGATGAGTAAGCACTTGAGCAAAATCACTTTCCCATAATCACCTTACCTGTGTAGGTAGTAACAGCAAAAAAAAGCTTTTACATCATCAACTTTAACAGCATTCTATAATATTATATATATGAACTAAGCCTATTTGGGCACAAGAACATATTTCTAGATCAATCATTCTCATATATAAATTAACATGTAGCCAATTGTGAGATAATGTTATTCTATAATGTGTGCTTTGTGACAGCCTATTGTATACAGTCTGTTAAAAAGCTGTCTTTAATTTACTAGTCTATTTAAGCCAGGTGCTTCTGCTATGTATCTAAAGATTCTTGACAAAATCCAAAAAAGAATCTACAATGTTATCAGTCCTGACCTGGCATCTTGGCTTCAATCATTTTCCCACTTCCATAACCTAACCTCCCTCTGCCTTTTCTATAAATATTTTCATGTCAATTGTTTTCATGTGCTTTCTTCTTTATGAACCTGAAGCATAGTACTAAACTAGATCTCATTATTTTACCATTGAAATTTCTAAATGTTACCATAAATTCTATTCTCTTTCTTCTCTCACACTTCTCACCTGAGGAATTCTCATCAAGTTTCTTGCTTTCATGTCAACTACAAACTCCAAAAATGTAAATGAAACATTGTCATTTTCTGTCTTTTTGAATCCTGTTCTTTTCCTGTCTTTTCTCCTTAGTAATATTTTCTCATTTTCATTCACTCTTAGTAACTCTCTGCGCCTTAGTGGCTTTATTCCTGTTTCACCATATCTACAGATTTTCACCAGTTATTAATTATTATTTTTTATATCAATATAGACTAAAACAAAACAAAAATTCAAAATCTGAACATGTATGAATTCCTTTGAACAAACATTCAAAATCTGAACATGTATGAATTCCTTTGAACAAACATTCAAAATCTGAACATGTATGAATTCCTTTGAACAAACATTCAAAATCTGAACATGTATGAATTCCTTTGAACAAAAATTCAAAATCTGAACAAAAAAAAAACAAAATCAAATAAAATCTGAACATGTAAATTCTTTGAAAAAACATTCAAAATTCACCATGTATGAATTTTGAAAAACAAAAAATCTGAACATTATGAATTGATTGAACAAACATTCAAAATTGAACATGTATGAATTCTTTTGAACAAAATTCAAAAATCTGAACATGTATGAATTCCTTTTGAACAAACATTCCAAATTGAACATAGGTACCAATTTTTGAACAAACATTCAAAAATGAACATGTATGAATTCCTTTGAACAAAATTCAAAAATGAACATGTATGAAAGAATGAAAAATATTCAAAATTTAATATACAAATGAATTTTCTTACAAACATTTTAAATTGAACATGTATGAAACACAGAAACAAACATTCAAAAATTTTACATGTAATAATCTTTGAAAAAACATTCAAAATTCATGATGTATGAAATTTGGTTACGAAAAAAAAAAATTCAAAATTCTGAAATAAAAAATTAAAAATCAAATAACTAGAGTAAACTGAAAAGGACTAAAACACCTTACCTTTCGGAAAACAAAAGGCTCATCATTGTAAATTGGATTGAGACCATTGTTAGGGACAATTCTCGTCCTAAATTCTTTGCGGATGGTATCTGTCGGCAAACCATACATATCCACTTCAACATAGGTACCAATTTTCTTATCAGATAAAAACTGGCCTGATATAACCTGGAACAAAACAGAAATGATTACATATGCAAGAATGGAAATATACACCTGCATTTAATATACAATGGTTTCTCTTATGTGTCATTTTAGTTTCCCTACATGAAACACAGAAACAAACAATTCAAAAATTTTACTAAATAATCTTTCAAAAGCCCAAAAGTCATGATGCAGACAATTTGGTTACGCAAAAAGAGAAGCTATTTTCTTACTTTAATAAAGAAAGTAAAAAATCATATGCTGTGCAAGTTAAGATCTTTTAGCCATGATATTGTTAGACATTTTGACAGTCGTCTTCAAGTATAGAATCCAGAGGTTAGCAGTGAATATTTCGGAGACAGTAGGAAAGCATAGTTCAGGTGGTTAGAACCCTTTATCGCAGCAAAGTAGCAGAGTAGAGTACTTTCTGTCATTCCACTGCCAAGTTGGCACTGATGGATGGGTAAAACAAAATGGCCACCTTTTATTTTTTCCTGTTCTGAAAGTTTCTGATTGGCTTAACCAGGAATTGAACTATAAAGGAGCTAAATCATTTTGACAACTCACTAGTTACATACCATACATACACAAAAAACCATGTGTCCTTTTTATTACACTATATTGTTATATTTATTCTATTTTATTAATTTTTATTTTGACTAATTTATAAAACAAACTTGATCACAGATTCCCATAGGAATATATATATATATATATATATATATATATATATATATATATATACAGATATTTATTAATTAGTACATACGTGTACCTATGTAGGTACATGTATATGTACTAATTAATATATATCTTTGCTCTGTCTAACCACATTGAGCACTATTATGTTTACACCTCATGTATAATTTGACGATTATTTATTTGCTTGCCCATATATGCACACGTGTATACCCTTGCTTATATCTAGTCATTTGATTTATCTATTGTATAACTAGATAGATAGATAGATAGATAGATAGATAGATAGATAGATAGGTGTTTGTGCGTGTATGGTTTGGTACTAGCTCTTGTTTCAAGCATTTGCTAGGGATATTGGAGCATGGCCCCCTGCAGATAATGGAGGAACTACTATAGTAATGTTGACTAAAAAGTCTTAAAGTTGATGACGCTTTTCCACTCAACAGGAAGAAAGGAAAACTTTGGAAAACCACTCCCTCATAAAATTATTTTATGTTAATTATGTTTTTTATTCATGCATGTGACTATTCCACAAAACATGTAAAGAGAAATCATGACCAACCAACCAAAGAACACACAATTTTATATTTTGGTTTGGCAGAATCATGTTTTATTATTTGATGAAAATTAATTTTCTTCTCGTCACCCCACCAACAACAAAAAAAAATAAAAAAATAAATAAAAATCACAAGGCAGACCAATATTAAAGCAAAATACATTTTTACAATAATTATATTACACATTACTATTATTAGTAGTAGTATAAATCTTTATTGTTAATTATTTTATTATGTAATAACATAACTAATCCTCTTTTAGGCATAAAAATGTGTCCTCTAAAATCCAACATTGTAATGAAGGTGATAGAAAAGATTGTGTGACTTATAATATAAAAGAACATATCAAGATACATTTGTCGCTGCCATATCCTCCACAATTGTCAATGATGAATTGTCTGTGTTAGTTTATTGTGATATGAAGAAAAATAACTCACCCACTTCTACCCTCTGACCTTGTTTTTCTATTTAACATAGATTTGACATTTAATTGGTTAATCCAGACATACCCACGTCTATTTTTAATTTAAATAAACTACACTCTTTTGCAGTGAGTTAAGAATCTGACTTTCAATCTTCTACAGAGAGAATATTCACTCAAAAGGGCAGCAAACACTGACACACACCTTAGCGAAGAAAAAAGAAATTCAAACAGAAAACCTACAAAAACAGAATATAACTACCAATGCCACACATTGCTGAGGTGCAGCATGTAAAACACTGGTCTAAAAAGGATGAAGTCAGTAACATGTACACCATTATTCACCTAAAAAAATTTTTCAGGAAGGCTAGAAGGATATTTACTTGTTACCTGCAACTGTTGTGGTTGGGCCTGTAACAATTATGGAATAACTCTCCAAAAACCTAATTCACAACATCAAGTTATGAAATGAAATTCTCTGCTAATGATTTTACTATAGAAGTACATTAGAAATCAATAAAATGAGATAATCAGTGGTCAGGAATTAATGCAATCCTGACTGATAGAATAGGATTATTTTATACAAGGTGAGATGGATAAATTGTCATCTAAACTATGGAAAAATGAAAATAACACTGGCATCTCACTTTAACATATATATTTACCAAAATTACACAAAAATATCTTGAAATACTAAAGAGTAAATTTATTTAATAAAAATCACCATTGGCTTCAACCACAGTGTCCAGACAGCTTTGGAATCTCCTGCAACTCTTCTACATAGTCTCCTTGTTTAGTCGGTGAATGCTGCCATATTCCTTTGGCTACAGTTTATCTTTGGTGTTACAAGGAGTTTTGTTGGTCTCTCATTTAATTGTGCCTCACAGAATAATCAAGGGGGTTGCATTCTGGGGAGTTAAATGTAAGTGGTGATGTGATTGCAAAAACTGTCTGACAGCCATGACAGGATTCTCCTGCTTGTGTTGTATGGTGCAGAATCCTGTTGCCAGACATAGGGTCATTCAGCAGCCACCCTCTTGACCCGGGGCAGCACTACTTCCTAAAGGCACTTGATATCCGCCTCTGTGTTGAGTCTGAAGCCATCACCAACAAATATGAGAGTTCTTTTCTTATCAGAATGATCAGAGTGAGTTTTCCAAGCTGCTGTACAATCATAATCACCATTAGACTCATCCAACTCTTTCTGAATCCTCTGCACTGTCCTCAGATTGACACTCTGAAATATTTGTATTGCGGCTTCCAGCACAAATGCCAAGCAGTAAAGCATGACGTTTCCAAATTTCTAGCAGAGTGAATTGTGTCTTGGTACTCTTTCTAACAGACAGTGCCCAACTGACCATACTATATTGTGCAGTCGACAAAATGAAAAACAAACAGAGCATGTGCACCAAATGAAAAATATAAAATGGCAACAATTTACCCATCATACTTTGTATTATAGATTATCTTTCTTCAGTAATTCATGATAGTAATTTTTTAATGAATTAAACCATATAAAAGTTTGTTATTTTTTTTCAATATTGTAATAGTTTAAATTCTTTCTGCAATCAATTTACTCACCTCTACAGAACAGTGTCCAGCAATTACACCATCGACTGGACTCTCAGAGAAAGGATCAAAAGTTCGATCTGGTCTCCTCATAAAATCAGGCTTTAACAAGTACCTGTAATAAAACATTAAGAATATTAGAATAAACACTAAGGACTAAAATAATTAATTTTTTTTTTCTTGCCTCTCTTTTTATATTATTGTCATATAGGAATAAAGTGTTGCTACTGACACTTGGGTTTGAACACAGATTGGCAGAGAGCAAGCACAGTCGACCTCATCTTGAAATAATTAGATCATATGATGGATAAAGGAAAAATATCTATATGCTTGGTTTCTAATAACGTAGCATATCATCTAATTTTCCAGTATTGTTCAGTTCCTGATGACCGAGGCATCCCAGTAGGGAAATATCAAGAGAACTGAGAATTTTTTATTACCAATCCTATATAGTACTTTTGTAATTATGTGATAAACCAATGTCATAGTGATGAACTAAGAACTCCTTTCTAATAGTATTCCTCTGAAAAGTTTTCCTTATTCTCTCAAACTTTAACACTGGTAAATTGTAGTTCTAATATTTTAGTATATATTCATCAAAGTGGCAACCTAAGCTGGAAGACTGAGTTAAATTAAAAGAGATGGAAATGTTATATTTCCATATAGGGTGAAGTAACCAAATTATCCTTAATCATGTGTTAGTCATACATACATCTTTGAGAGAGCTATGAAGATGGGCTGAAAAGTTCATAGGCTGACTATGCAGGAGTGATGCTAGAGCCGTGAAATCTTGCATGCAGTAATTTCAGCTCTTTTTATTAATAACGGCATTGTTTATTTCCAGGTAAACTGACATCTGACTGTTCAAAGACTGTTCATCCTGTTGGCTAAAAAAGTCACCAATAGCAGACATGACATAATCACTGTGATACTGGTTCCCAGCCAAGTGTTTTTTCATGTTGGAGAACTGATGATAGTCAAATCCAAATAAAAGGGAGAGAAATCGACTAGTTCAAAGCCTCAATCATGCACAACAGTTATCAAAACCAAGGATTTGTGGGCTAGAGCATTGTACCAATAAAACAAGACACTTTTCATCAGTTTTCCTGGAGGTTTAGTCTTAATAGACTTTCATAACTGTCTCAGCAAGTTGGCATAGTACTCACTATTTTACCTCATCTTTGTTGCCATATTTATTACAATGTTTCATCTGTTGTACACTCTGTTTTTCTTTCAGGTGGTTGGAATAAACAACTTTATTTCGACTGGGTAGACTGTTTCTTTCAACGTTGTTTAATGGAAGTCGTTATCAGTTTTTCTTTCTATTCTCCATTATTAACCAGGTATTGAACTCAAAGAGACCCAAAGAGTGTGAGTTCAATACCTGGTTAATGTAGTGGAGAACTTGGAGAGGGAAATTAACAGGAGATAACTGATAACTGACTTTTATTAAACATGGCACGTTGAACTAGAACAGTCTACCTCAGTGAGCGAAATAAAGGGTTAAATTCTACATTCCAACCACCTGAAGAAAGTCCGAGAGTAGAATAAGAATGTATAATTACTCTCCAAGCTGTTTTTTCTTTTGGTTAGACATTGCAGTGCCGATTGATTATTTTCAAGCAGTAAGGATGTTTTTAGTCTTTTCTTTTTTTATTGAATTTTTTTTTTTCCACTGATATCACTTTGTTTAATTTTTTTTTTTTTATTTACGAATTATCTGTTTTTTTTCACACCTCCTAAATATAGTATTAAAATAGACTCTTGCTCAGGCACATTTGTGTTTGTTCAACAAACACCCACAGAGCCAGCCTGTGATTTATACTACAACTATGCCGAGCAGATCTTAGTTACAGTTTCTGTGAGAGAGCCTGTTATCTAGAATGATCAACAATCTGAACAACACCGGCACACTCAAACCCTCGGTCACGATGACTTGTGACTTTGTGCTAGCACAGCTATTGATAGCCCCAAGTGTTCCGTCTACCCAATTTAACTCACAAAACTTGGGTCAACCTGTGGTATGGTTGTCAGGCACTTTCCAAAGGTGCCGCACACTGGGATCATCCCCACTCCTGACAAATCGCCCATGGTGAGATTCAAACCCAGGTCACATGGTCAGAAAGCGAATGTTCTAACCACTCTGCCATGCGCCCATGTATGTATATATATATATATATATATATATATATATATATATATATATATATATATATACACACACACACACACACACACATTATATAAATCAGAACCACTTACCCACAATTTCCATTGTATTCAAATTTTCCCTGATTGAGCTGCATAGCAAGATCCGGAGTCTGGAAATTTAATGCTACCATTTGGCAGCCAGCATTCCAAAAGATCTATAAAACAAAGAAAAGGAACATTACTTGGAGTATTTCCAGAAATTGGTGCCACTCATGCAGGATTTTTTTTTTTTTTTACAGATAAACATATATTCTATAATTTTGAGAGGCATCATTATCATTCAAGAGTTGTGCGGACAATATCCTTTTAGTTGTTATAACATTTCTATTGCGCTATTCTTTTTCATTCTTTAGTATACAATCCAAAGAGAAATTGCAATGAGATATGGGGAAGCTTCTTTTTTTTTCCTTTTTTTTTAAGATAAGTACAAAATAGAATAACTTATAAACTTGTAAATAGAATCATTATTGTTTGCCTAATATAAAGGAAGTCCATTTTTTGATCATTTTTGGGATGTGGTCTTTTAGGTAACAATAATCAACTGATAATATTAAACAAAAGACACAAAATTATAGCAATTTACATTCACTGTAACAAATTATAAACAACCTTACACTATAAAAAATTAATATGATATTTGCTGAGTTGAAATTATTATTTTTTAATACATTTTAAATATTTGAGATTAGTTGGTTTTGATAACAATAATCATTTTATTACATTATTTGTCAATGTAATAAATGCATTGCTATATATTTCTTATAATCTACCATTCCAAGAACGATCCTAAAATCATGCAAATTGAGTCAATTAAGATAATTAAATATTCAAAATAAAATTTACAAACAAATCTCCATGAGAAAAAACGTTTTTCTTCCCAAACTCTCTGCCTCCAAGCAGAGAGAAACCCAGACAAGACTATGCCGAAGGGTAGAGCCTCGTTTTTGGGGGGTTAGACAAACTTGACCCTATGTATATGGGTTCTGTGGGCAATTTTTGCCTGAGTCAATGGGTTCCAAACACCCCACGTTACAAATTGACCTTGTGCCACATCTTGCCTTGTGGGGAGGTTGGTAAATAGAGAGAAACATATAGATCAAGAAAAGATGTCATTTACAAACACTGACACTACCAATCTGATATATTTGCTTTCTTTTATTTTTACACACAATATTCCCAAAGACCCAATATATGAGATTCATACTGCATTAAGGTGCACTGAAGTGTGTGTGTGTGTCTAATATATATATATATATATATCTGCTCTAGTTTATGACTGGCTGCCATTAGCTGCCAATCTATGGGTCATGACCAATCTATAAAAAATAAATTTTTAATTTTTGCTTCTTCACTTTAAGTTTAAATTTAACATAGGTCATATCTGATTGGTTGGTCAGATTAAAGCCCACAAAACGCTATAACCCCACTTTTTTACCTTTTTCATAAAAAAAGGTTGTGTCTTGCTTTTAAATCTAAATAAATCGTTCACTCGCCAGTAATTTACAATCGCCTGATGAGATTCATTGAAACATGACTGCAATTGTGTAGTGATTTTGACATTTTCAGTGTAATATCCTAAAATAAATAAATATATATATATATATATATCGTTGGATAGATGTGAGTTTGTGACCCTGGGTTTCACGCTTTAGCGATCGTCAGACAAACTGATATTGAGAGCTTTCTAATAAGTACCGCGCATATAATATATAAATAATTATACAAACTTATATTTATTTATATACACTTTTCACACACACATATATATATATATATTATATATATATTTATGTATGTATGTATGTATGTATGTATGTATGTATGTATAAAATACTAGGTGTTTGGAATGGCATAAAGTAAAATAATGAATACTTACTTGTGGCATGTAGTTACTAGAGTCCACACGACCACCTCGGGGATAGATCCGGCTCATCTGTCGCTTATTATAACTAGTTACTAGTTAAGGTAGTAACATTTGGAAGTGGTATCAAAATCTTATTGAACAACAAATTAATTACAAGAATGAAAGCAGAATAAAGTCATTATGAATATATTCCAAGTGGATGTAAAGGGGAAAATGATTTACATTCTTGTATATGTATGAAAGAATGTGTGTGTGTGTGGGGGGGGGTATGTAAAAGAGTCTGTACACAAAAAATCATTTTCTCTCAGAAAAGAATGCAAAATCAGCTTACTAAAATTAGTTACCTGTGTTGTTAACTGCATTAAATATCAAACTGGCTGAAAGGAACCAAGGTTGGGAATATACCACAGTACATAGAATCCCTTTGTTTATCAGCATGAGGTAACAGTTTAAAAAGTGAAAACCTTGTCTTAGAACATTATCAGTATGTAGATATTTTAGAACATTATCAGTATGTAGATATTTTAGAACATTATCAGTATGTAGATATTTTAGAACATTATCAGTATGTAGATATTTTAGAACATTATCAGTATGTAGATATTTTAGAACATTATCAGTATGTAGATATTTTAGAACATTATCAGTATGTAGATATTTTAGAACATTATCAGTATGTAGATATTTTAGAACATTATCAGTATGTAGATATTTTAGAACATTATCAGTATGTAGATATTTTAGAACATTATCAGTATGTAGATATTTTAGAACATTATCAGTATGTAGATATTTTAGAACATTATCAGTATGTAGATATTTTAGAACATTATCAGTATGTAGATATTTTAGAACATTATCAGTATGTAGATATTTTAGAACATTATCAGTATGTAGATATTTTAGAACATTATCAGTATGTAGATATTTTAGAACATTATCAGTATGTAGATATTTTAGAACATTATCAGTATGTAGATATTTTAGAACATTATCAGTATGTAGATATTTTAGAACATTATCAGTATGTAGATATTTTAGAACATTATCAGTATGTAGATATTTTAGAACATTATCAGTATGTAGATATTTTAGAACATTATCAGTATGTAGATATTTTAGAACATTATCAGTATGTAGATATTTTAGAACATTATCAGTATGTAGATATTTTTTAGAACATTATCAGTATGTAGATATTTTAGAACATTATCAGTATGTAGATATTTTAGAACATTATCAGTATGTAGATATTTTAGAACATTATCAGTATGTAGATATTTTAGAACATTATCAGTATGTAGATATTTTAGAACATTATCAGTATGTAGATATTTTCATCTGATCAATTAATTCAAATCTAACTTCATTGAATTAACATTTTATTTTTGGGCTCATATGTTGACTGGAAAGTTGTGAATACTGAAGTAGCATTTTCATCTGGCATTCCTGTTATAGACTTGCAAAAATTGAAGTGACCTTTATTAGCAGTAAGGATGCTTTGGCCTAAAAAAAAAAAAATATATATGACTCCCAGGGTTATCATCTGGTGAAGTCTTTTTTAGAAAGCACTGCTTCTGTTTTAGAAACAGGATGAGCATGAAATTTATATAAAGTCTGTCTGGAAAGGCTTCAAGTATTTCCGAAGTCTCTAAAACTGATTGTGCAGCACTGCCATAACTTGGTAAACTGAAGTGACCTTACAACATGAATGCTTTCTTATAGGATTACACAATCAACAGTGAGATGCTATTGATTTGGTTTCGTTTGTTTTATGGCAGCTCAACCTCAATGGGTGATTTAATACCGACTAGATTTTTTATTACTGGTAATATTTTTCCAAAAATGTCTTGCCGGTAATATTTTTTTTTCAAAAATGTATTGCTGGTAATAATATTTCCTTCAAAAATTCATTGCTGGTAATAATTTTTTTACAAAAAAGTATTTTTGGTATTAAAACCTATTTTTATACTTATAGGTGTTTTGACCCAGTTCAGGGGTTAACAATTTGACCATAACTGGGACCCTAACAGGTGCTACCACCCAGGTTAGAGTGGATCTGGGAATACCAGAAATTAAGAGGTGATTCCATGCTCCTCAAAACCTACTGATCTTGCTGTCAGACGCAGTTTATCATCTTACCCAGGATGCAGACGCAGTTTATCATCTTACCCAGGATGCAGATGCTATTGCATCAGCTTGTGTAATGTCTAACCCCTCAAAATGATTATAGAGCCAACAAACCTGTTTCTTAAAATATCACATTACTCAGTTCTATTAGTCTGTTAAAGATTTGACTCTCTGATTTTTCTCAAAGTTAAAATATATGCTGAGAGAGAGAAAATTTCAGATTGTCTTTGAGAATAAGAAGAATATAACAAGAAATCTGATGGTAATCCCAAAAGAATATTTTGGAAACTATTTTTAAAAGTGTAAGGGATGCTGGGATAAGTTTGTGGGGTCGCAAGGGTTTTTCTTTGAATGGGTCTAAGGCACCATTAGACAATCTTTTCATTACTATTAAATAGCAAGATACTTTCCAGACATCAAGTGTGTGTGTGTGTGTGCATATATTAAAGAAAATTAAGTTTCCTAATACTGATAAATCATGGATAAATTTACAAGCAAGTTAAGTAACTTACACGCGTACACACACAAATGAAAAACATGTCCAATATACAAACAAAAACTTTATACAACAAAATTTCATGCCAGAAACCAAAAGAAAAGCAAAGAAAAGAAGCCAAAATAAAACAAAATCAGTTAGAAACACATTCGGTTGTACCCTAACATTATAAGAACTAATATTATAATAACTGTAATGGAATAACTTATAAAAGTGGTAAAAGTTTACTAAGTTTATAAAATATTTATTAAAAATACTTATCAAAACTTATTTATAACCAGTATGGTCAATTTTTATAGAATAATAAAATGCTTTGTATATTTATCACCTGAACACTTGCAAAATATAAAATACAGTCTAAGTTTTTATTAAGAAATTAGATGACATTTTATATTGTCTATTTTTTCTTTTATTATTCAGAATTCAGGATACCACATATAACGTAAAGAGCCAGAACCTATCTACCTAGGTTTCACCTAACAGATCATCAGGATAACTCTGGCTCAAAGTTATCATGATGATCTGTTAGGTGAAAACCTACGTAGGCAGGATCTGGATCTTTAGGTTATCTAGTTTTGGCTCTACTTAGTGTATTGAGCACTTTTATGTTATAACTTAGGTTAATCTGTCATTTTTGTTTATCTTTTGGCTGGACATTGCAGTGCTGCTTGATTATTTGCAAGTTGCAAAGATGTTTTTAGTTTTTCTTTTTTTTCTTGTATTTTTTTTTCCTGATGTCTAATATTTTTTATTTACAAATTGTATTATCTGGGGTTTTTTTCACACCACCCGAGCATAGGTAAACAAAAATAAAACATATATATATATATATATATATATATATAGGTAAGTACACAGATGTGTGTGTGTGTGTATATAGATGAAGAGAGAGAAAGTGGTAGAAGTATATGTGTATATAAGTATATAAAGAGAGAAAGATCATAATTTTAAAATTGGTTACTTGTCAAACATTAAAATTGTGATCAATATTTAATGGAAATATTTTAGTCTGTCATAAGAAAGTAACCACTAATATATATATATATATATATATATATATAAAGATGCTTCCTAATAGTTATGGAAAATAGATCATTACATTAAAATTATTAACCATAACACAAAGACTGCAATGCCTCTCACAAAAGGTAACTGTTCATATTTTCCAAATTTTTGGATATATACCTCATATATATATATATATATATATATCCATAGATAATTGGTAGAGATAATTCCAAGGAGGACATGAATCCAAAGAGAGCTCAATGTAAGAAACAGAGCAATATAATAATAATAAAAAAATATTCATCTCTTCAGACCAAAGTTTTTTCTTGGTCTGAAGAGATTAATTTTTTTTATATATATTCATGAAATAAATTATAACCAAATGGATTTTTAAGGACCATCAGTAATTATTATTATTATTATTATTATTATATCACCAACCTTGGGGACCGTTGATAGCTGTGCTAGCATGATCACAAGTCATCGTGGCCGAGGGCTTGAGCATACTGGCTTTGTTCAAATTGTTGATCACGCTAGATAACCCGCTCTCTCTCAGAAACTGTAAGGTCTGCACAGCATAGTTGCAGTATAAACCACAGGTGGGCTCTGTGCGTGTTGAATAAACACAAATGCACCTGAGCAAGCATCTACAATAGGGATTGGCTAGCCACCCTAGTTGACGGGCATCCACAAATACGAGTGGCCAGCTATATATATATATATATATATATACACACACATTGTGAAGAAGGTGTAACAGCAACCATGAATTCATCAATTTATTGAAATTTCCTGAATCTAACTGATTTTATTTTATTTCTTAAATAAGAATTTTAACCAATTTTACTGAAGCATGCTTTAAAACAAGTTTAAGCAATTTCTTTAACTTATTTAGTACATATTGAATAACTAATTTTTTTTTCTCTTTGTTACTTAATTCCTTCTTTGGGTACAACAAGTTAAAAAAAAAACAAAACAACAAAATCATGCAACATGAAAGGATACTCAACAAAATCTAAGCAACTGTGTTTGATGAGGCTCAGGCCAGCATTTTCATTGAAGGACGACATGTGGTAATGAATTCCTCTAGCTTGCAAAGAAAAAAATATCAACAGATACAGGACACATGCAGGTGAGCACAGGTAGCAGAGCAAACAGGAGGTGTGGGGGTGGCAAGATGCAGAAATACGACAATGGATACATTAAACAACAACAATTACACCAGCCAGTCAAAACAGCAAATGGACACTTAGTAACGTCAAATTGTACTACCTTCTGGTAGGTTATAAAAATAAAATATTTACAAAGTACAGAGGTGCAGTTAAAATGATGGCTAATGGTACAAAGAAAGAAAACTCTAACATAGTTTATATTCACTTTGCACTAATGCCCTTGGGAAAAACATGAGTCTACTTCTTTCTCCAAGAGAAAAAAATTATACATTAACAGTACTTTGGATTTCACCAAACCCTATTTGTAGTATTAAATTCATCAGATGATGTATGTGTTAAATAATAGTTAAGGATATAGTGTAGCTATAGAATCGATGAGACACAAACAGAATTTAATATTTGGAGCCAGAAAGAAGGAGTCATATTTCCGAGAAAGCAACACTATTTACATTATTCGAGGAAACTACATCAGAAGGTTATGAATTAATCTTGTCAGCAGGGTATTGTGCAATCTGGTGGTCACTCTGTCATGGTGTAAAGTGAGTTTTAATGGAGTTTGCAAGAACCACTAATAAAACTGAGAGATAACTCTGCAGACTTTATTTCTTGTCATTAAGACAATAGTTTGTTCCAGCAAGATAACCCAGCTCCCTAATGAGTGTAGGTGACACTAAAATGGTTTCCAGATAACTTTCAGAAATTCCACTGGCTTTCATGCTCATCAGATTGAAATATCATTGAGCACTTATTTTCAGTGAGAGCAAGTATTACTGACAACCACAAAAGAAATGAGATGTTGTGGAGAGCTATGATCATCTATATCATGACAGAGAGAGAAAGAGGGAAAGGACTGATTAAAACAAATTAAACTTGTCAAGTCTCTTAATTCAAATTTAGATAAAAGTGGTTAAATAGGATTTACAGGACTTACTTTATAAATATGAAAGCCTCAGATATACAGATGTACCTCATTTTATACAGATGTACCTCATTTTATGTTGGTAATTTGTTCCAGGAGCGGAGACTTAAGTCGAAAAATGACTTAAGTCAAATTTACTTGACACTAGGCAAATAACCATTCCCAGTTTTGTATTTTATTTATAAATACATTTTTAATAATATATGGTCAATAAGAATCTCTTTTAAGCTTACAAACAAATAAATTTTAGTGTTTAATATAGTACAGAAAAAAAAGTAATCTAAATTTACAAATATATGCACGTACATATTTTGTAAATGTAGATGTTTATACAATTTGGCGATCTTTACAGCACATCGGACTTTTTATTTGTGAATGTGGTTTGCTCTAAGACATAAAATGATTTTGTAAGGTTAAATAACAAATAGTTATTAAAATTATTTTGTGATAGTAGAAAAACCAATTTATGTTAAATTTAGGATTTATGATGATTATATTAACATTTACTGTAAATGTATGTATTTTAATATGATTTTATATACTTTTCTTTTTATTTATTGTATAGTAACATGATTTTATGTGCTGTTAACACATTTCTAGTGATATTATGACTTCAATATTTGTGGCAGAGAAACAAAGTCAAATAAAAATGACTTAAATTTGATTTTTCCATATATATTTTGTTTTTTTTGACAAATGACGTATAATCAAGAACAACTTAACTCGGAACAACGTGACTTGATGTATACCTGTATAATTATCTTAACTCAGTTATACATGACTGAAAACTGAATTCAAATCAGGTTCCAATCTGGTTAAAGAAGATATGAAGCTAGAAAACCTACTTCATACTAAAACTATAGCAGCATTACCCATTGCATAGTGGGATTTTAGCCATCTGTTTCACAAGGAAACTATAAGGAACAAAACTAACTGAATGATGTTAAATGAAAAATATCTGATATAGTGCTAAAGTGTCCACTGCTGTTAAACCAGTTGGGGGTGTAGGTGGGGCAATATTTTTAACAACAACAAATTCATGACAACAATTGCAACAGAAAATATCAATTTCATCTCAAAATAATGTAAATTAATACCATATTTTGCAAATTTTTCTTGGGAGATTTTTCTCCTGTAAAAAACGTGTGTCATTGAATTTACCATATGCTAAAGATTTAGAAAAGATAAAGTGTGCTTTCTTTGATTATATTTTCTATTTCCTAAGCTTAGTACAGCACAAGGTTTAATACTAAATAAGGAAAATGATGTTAAACCAACTATTAGAATGAAAAGAACTTTTCTTTTTGGAAAATCAGCATCCAAAATCTAGGAATTTAGCTAGGCTCAAACACTAATGTATGGTGCTAGTGAGAAATGACCTTCTTTTCGTAAAAGACATCTATTAGATGCTTTAGTACACATCATCAGTGATGTTTCTAACCAAGATTTATTAGGGGTTTTAGGTCTTTCAACATCATACCCCCTCTCCACAACTTGTGTACATTCTGTCAGCTGTTTTTCCATCTTCCGAAGTACACACCATACGAGTCTTCTTGGTAATTTATTGTCCAGTCTCGGATGACTTCTGGTTCACCAGTAATGTGTGCTCTTCCATAAAAAAAAAGAAGCAAATGCAGCCACAATTTCTATTTGATCAGGAATATGGTGGTGTGCTTGGCTTGAAGTGGTAAGTACCAATATGATTCCCCTCACTGAGACGTATATACACACACACAGAAACGTGCTCAAGCATCACATTCTGCTTACACTTATCCCCATTTTCATTCATGTTAATCATCTGCCAAAGGAAAAGAAAAAGAGAAAAAAAAAAAAAAATATTTCCTTTTCCTCCTTCCTACTTTTTTTCATCATTGACCCTCCTCCTATATTAGTTACATACATGCATATACATATCAATGCCATCACACACACACACACACATCTATAAAAAAAAAAATAAATAAATTAAAAAAAAAACATGCGTGTCCGGTTATTTTCTCCTTTCCTGATATTGTCTAAGCTAAGCAAAGTGTAGCACAAGTTGAACTGAAAGAAAAAAGATTGTGCTGCACCAATATTCCTAGCAGAGTGAGCCTCTCTCGAAAATCAGCATTTGAAATACTATCATTTTAATTGTGCTTGAACCCTAACCTCTGATACCAGTGGAGAATAGACAGCTATCACAAACATACTTCCTTGGTGACTTCTTGCTTAAATTTGTGGTCAAAAGAAATTAGCGACTCTGTTTAGGGATGAAATTTCAGATTGGGCGTTTCTTCCCTTTACACTGGTTTCTTAGTATTTATCATTGTTCTCTTCCCTGTATCTGCTTCATTGTTCATTTATCCCTCCCTTCTACCACAACTGCACACATCGTACGATCTACCCCGACAGAAGATGCCTCTCATCTCCAGGATGGTCTACTTATAATCACAAGTCACCAATCACTTGCTCAGATGATAAACATACTAGACATATTGGCACCTCACAATGGAGCACTAGCACACACAGATGTCCCTCCTTGATTCAATCCAACTATGCTAATATTATGTAAAGTTGCTAATGACCCAATTTCTTGAGCAACAACAAAGAAGGGTCTCTTTTGACAGAACAACACACTTGCCCTCTCTCAAATTGAAGTCCTACATGCCAGACAAAAACAAACTCTCTTTCGTTGAGAACAAGGCAAGTTTTGGTCACCATTTCTGCCATTCAACTCCGGTTCTGGTTCACTATGTCTGCTACAAGAAAACATTTGACCTTCAAATATTCAGAGATGTAAAATGTTTATAAAAAGTGACAATTCTGTCCTTGACATGTTTCAATGAATTTACACAATCTCCAGGAATAAATAGTCAAACAGTATTGATCTGTTCATGATCAAGTCATTGATTACATCAACTCCCTTCTGATCACTAAAGCTAAAGAGAGTCTAACCTGCCCAGTATTTAAATGAGTAACTGCTTGTGACCTTGTGCCATACTAAAATAAAGAACCTAGTCAGTACTTAGGTTACCACTTAGGAACAGCAGATAATTTATGCATCTCATGACTTTTGTATATAAAAAATATCAGAACTTGGTCAACAAAAAAAAAATGCTTATAAAAGAAGTAAATTTTAAAAAATAGTATTTTAAATACAGGGTGCAGCAGAAATACCTCCCACATAATGGTAAGACATTAACTAAATGAAGACACCATTGCCACTAATGTCTTACCATTATGTGGGAAGTACTTCTGCCACACCCAAATGAAAAAAAATCTAAAAGCTATTTTTGAAATATTTTGTCTTTTATTTATCTTCCAAAAAAGAAAGCACAAAGCACGCAAATAAAAATTAAATTTTCATTCAATGCCAAAGGTTTATATCTTTCAACCAAATTTCTTATTTTTTGTTAATACACAAGGTTCTGAATTGTATTGTTTCAAGAACGCAATAATAAAATGAGCATCAGTTGTTTCTTCTTGTCAAAAAGGTTTCATTTTAAGTAAAAAAAAAAAATATAATTAAAATGTTTACTGTATTTTATAAACAATCAATTATGGTATTAATCTTTCCCATAGAGAGACAGCTGAAACAAAATTTAAAACATAAAAGACAAAAAAAAAAGAAAAAAAAAAAAAAGAGAAAAAAATCCAAACATTTAACATGCAAACTTGATTTTATACAATTTGATAGAGGTGTTTTGATTTGTTTGGTTTATTTTGTTTTACGGCATATCAACCTCAATGGGTTATTTAATACCGACAACTTTTTTCCAGGTAATATTTTGTTTTTGTCAAAAATCTAATATTTTTTTTCTTCAAAAATTTATTTCTGATAATAATATTTTTACAAAGTATTTCTGGTATTAAAACCTATTTTTATACTTTTACAATGCTTTTTACCTCAGTTTCAGGGTTGACTGTTTGCCCATAGCTGGGACCCTAACAGGTGCTACCACCCCAAGTCAGGTTTGAGCTGGTAACATCAGCAAATTAAGAGGTGGTTCCACGCTC